GCAATCCTACGATTCCTCCCCAGACAGTTTCACCACCATTACAACCATGTTTTTTTCTCATCAGGCAGTTGCACAACCATCTCGAGTCATGTGAGTCAATAACGAGCCATTTGCTCGAACAAATACTGGGAAGTCCTCATATTCAGTTAAAACCGAAGAAGCCTTTTGGATGAGCAGTGCAACGTCTTCAAGAAACAAAAATACATCCAATCCTTTGACTAAAGCACTTAGTATTGTGTTTAGCATTGTATTGAATTTAACAGTACTTATAATACCATATTAGCTACACTTTCAAATACACACAAGGTGGCTTATTACATTGTAGGTCACCAAAACACAGAAATGAATCCAGACAAAAATGTATGAAGAGGATGAAAGAATTCCTTATGACAGCAGCCTTTCCTAACCCTCCCCATTTTACATTACTGTTGGTATTCATCCCTCCTTTGGGCATTCCTTAAACCAGTGTCCTTGGAGAAAGCATTGAAATTCTAATTTACAGTAGAAACAGTTCTCTCCTCGCCCCACCATCTTCTTCCTACTCTGGTAAAATGTGTCTTAAAAGAAAAGGAAGGAAGTCTTATCATTATTAAAAAAACATTTGGCAAAAAGTGAAATAATCTCACCCTAGTGTTAGATTGTTGTCCCCATTGTTCAGTCCATTGGATCAGACTTTTTTGTTCCAGTTGAGTATAAGGTACCAGCATGGCTCTCTCTCTGTCTTCCTGCCTCTATATACACTGTTCATAAAGGCACACCGACTGAATCAGGTCATACGTGTCCACACACATGAGTCAATGACGGTGACAACCTGGAGACGCGTCTGTTCTTTCTTACATCCTCATATCTGATGACAAGTTAAAAAAAAAAATGCTGTGCATCGGATACCGGTGACGTTCCGAGAGGATGAAGTCTGTATTTTCTAGACCGGGAGGCTGGTTCGCTTTGTTTCGTGGCACAAAGAGGACTGTCGTAGTAGAGGCTGGTACCTGAGAGCGTCTGACAATGAAAGGGTGACCTGCCTGAGAGGCAGAGGGAAGAAAAAAAGACGACGTAACGCGTGTGTTGCAAGACATAGTGAGGTCAAAGCCATTAACTAAACGCAAAAAAAATAAGATTGTGCTGAATAGTCAAGCAGGCCCAACAACAAAGCAGGTCCTTGCTGGTTCGTACTTCCCTGTGGACGCACACACACTGTTCGTAACGGGGGGGGGGGACTCATGCAATTTCAGCAGAGCTCACCCCATTAACCTCTGGAAGCTGCCCTGTGCTCAAAGGGACATTTTGTTACGGATGAATGCAGAAAAGCTCTAAAGTTACACTTAAAAAGGAGCCGACCTCAGATCAGTGGAAGAGGGGTGGCAGGTAGGCACCCAACAATCCTTAACCAGACTACGGGGCTTTTACTTTGAAAGAATGGAATGCACATTTCCTCAAGTGTTGTACTTTATGTGTTTACTGCACTGTAATTCAAGATACCCTGCATATTTAGAGGGAAATAGTGCACTTATCTGACAGCTACTATTTTCTTTTTAGATTAAGATTTTACATTTAATATAATATGAATGGTAATAAAAGGGAAACCATTAGTAATAGTAACCTATGGCACTCATGGGTGCAATTTTTTGAATGTAGACACATTTTAACCCTTACATGCTGTTCATATTTTATGCCTTCATAGTATGGTTTGGGTCAATTTTGCCCCAGATCATACTGTGACAAATTGCTGTCAAGTATTCCCTCACAGTGTCTATACCTACATTTTAAACTACAGGTCCACTTAGAATATCTAAATAACTTGTGTCACATTAATAAATGTAAATAAAAAATACAGTTTCACAGTTTCAAGATTCCCTAAAACCACCATTTTCGTTGATTTGACTCACAATGGTAGATCTGAAATGCATCTCAATGGATACGGGTCAAATTTGGCTTGACACAGCCTCAGTGTACTAAAATTTGTTGCACCTGTGCAAAAGTATAAAAGTTCAAATTTTGTCTATTTGGGGCCATAAAATTTCAGGATAAAAGAATGACTTTTGGAGTATTTTTACTGCTCAAATGGGTCAAATTTGACATAAGTAGTATGTAAGGGTTAAGTAAATGTTGCTGAAATTTTTAAAAACACAACTACTAAAGTTACGTATCCTTATATGACAGCATGTCTTCTATCTAAATCTTAATGCTTTCCTTACTTCTTATCAACACACAAAGCATACTTGCTAGTGCTATGTTATTATCTAACTGTCTCTCAAGCTTGCATGCATCACTATAAGCCTTTTCCCCCCATGTGTTGGCTTCATATTTGTATTTGTATGAGCTGTGAAACTTACAGGATACAGACGAAGACAAAGACAAGGATATTTGTCTCCTGAATATGTCCTTCATGCAGTGCTTCTCCTTCACTTGGTGCTGTTTTACCAGGACACTTGTCTGGGAGGAGGTGCTGCCTTAAAGACTACAGTCAGGGAATAAAAGTCTAGTAACAGTAAACACCACAGATTGCATGAAAGGCCGTAACGTGTTTCTGTGGTAGACGTATGGTATTATTGCAAATCCCCCTGGTAAGAGGTGCGTATACCATGACACCACTGACTGATAGCAACTCCAGAAGCATCTCTCATGTATCTGCATTAGCAAGGTCTGATGAATTTTTAATGGTGGCTTTGGGGAAACGAGGTCAACAATGAAATCTGTTAAGTGGAAATATGAGAATGAGATGTATGAAGTATACAAAATAACAGGATACATTATGTAGATACATAGAAAAAAAAAAAGATGATTTCCAATCCTGCTGAAAGGTGCACATCAGTGAGATATCCTGACTTTTAATCCAAA